TGCCACTGCCAAACTGTGTGACAGGAGAGGGGAGGGAATTCAGTCAGGAGGAGAGGAGCAGGGCTGAACATGTGGAGGCAATGAAGCCATACCATGGCATCACAGGCACATGGGAAAGGGGGGACCAAGAGCGAAGCGCTGGCTGAGGCATGAGCAGAAAAAATGCAAGGCAAAAATAAAGCAGGGAAGAAGAAAGAGACAGGCAAGGAAGCTGGTGCTTCATTCAGCAAGAATTTGCAGCAGTGAGACCTGTTTATACATATTAGCAGATAATATTGTGATGAGAAGCTCAGGGAGACTGTGACCTCCATTTTACAACACACAGCCCTTCTCTGCCTCCTCCTGTTGCCTGCAGGCAAGCAGGCATCTTCCCCGTGCTGGTTTCAGCACCCCTAATAGTCACCATTTTCTAAGACCACAAGTATGTAGCAAACAATAATCATAAAAAAACAAATCTCGCGGAGGAAGGAGTTCAGGACTAGAGATTGTGTAAGTTAAGTGCTGACTGTGAAAGAGGTAAGTGAGGAAGAAGCACGCTCTGGGTGGAGACAGGAATGACGTGTCAGAGGGAGATGACTGCATATGGGATTATGCTGTTTGGATACAAATCAGATCCTGGATCCTCGAAGCTCAATTAGTGACATCTTCATTAATTAAAAAATGAGATTGTAGTGCCAAACTGCAGAAACAGAAAATAATCTCACCTTGCTATATGAACAGCAAGCAACTCCAAGTGCCACAGCTAGAGAGGGTTGCCAGAAATATGAGGTTTACTGGGATGATGGTATCCTCTCCCATACGAGCCCCTGGCCTGCAGTCTCGTGTTCTGCCCCTCTTACAGACAGGGCAGTGTGTGGCAGAGAGGTGAAGCAGCCTCCCTTTCCTAGTAGCAAGACTAAGCACTGACCAAGAGGCTCTTTGTTGTGACACAAATGGTAAATAAGACTTTTGCCCTTGAAAATACATACAATCTCAAACTGTGGTTCCCTCCTCATTCCACATCATCTAATTTTTTTATCTGCTTCTATTTTCAGCTCAGAACATTAAGCAGTGCTGGGTTTTGGCTCTCTAAATAGTGTGAGGCTGAGCACGCTTTAGCTTCGTGTATTGTGCCATCAGTATCTCACTGTTATCCTTTAACCCAACAGAAAAAACTTGTGAGCCTGTATCTGTTCTTGATGAGGGAAATGCAAGGAGAGAAGGAAATACAGACTAATCATTTTTACTTCATAAGGAGATCAGCAAAGGAGATGTTTCCTTTTTTACTTCATTTTTACAAGGTTTTCAGCTATTAACATAAGCAGTGTATGCACACTATAAAAAATTAACATCAGGGCTGCCCTTTTAGTAATTATAAGCAAAATTATTGCAACTGAAGAGTTATAGCATATCTTGTTATTCTACATGAATGATTATGTATATTATCCTGGTTATTCACACACTGTAATAAAGTGGGACTGTTTTAGTGCTCTGAAATTGTGATTTGTTAGTGCTTACACCCACTTACAAAGATACAAACATCTGTAAAGTATGTGAGCCTTAAGAATTAAGTTTACTGAGGTCAAGCTAACATCTTGTTGAGAGTTCTCAATTTCTTGTCTCTAGTCCAAGGGGCTTTTATATACTAAATGTAAAATGGGTTCATATTTAAAAGGCTGACAAAAAGCAGCTTACCAGATTTTCATACAGGAAATACTAGTCCTAGTTTTTCTCAGGCCTGAATGCATCATCATGACAACAGCAGTGAAAAGGCTTGTGCAATCTCCCAGTCTCAAATTCAAACTATGCAGAATAAAGGAAAAGGGATCTGCGCAAGCATATATTTTCCTGCTATTTTAATACATGCCTCCTTACCTTGCCCCACTAAAGTGGTGCAGCATTTCTAGAGGAGGCTGATGCTCACCTCTTGTGGAGAGATGGACTTTCCCATAAACTGGTCTGTAGCCACCTGCAAGCTCGCCTCTGCAAGGACAAAGTATACTACAGTGTCATAAGGTGTTTTTAAGTGGCTCTGCTAATATTTTAGCCAGTATCACTTTCTAAGGAAGAGATTTTCTTTAAAAAAATTTATAACTGATCTACCTCAGCTGATCAGAGGCACTTGATTCTTTAAGACGTATTAAGATTAATTGGAGCTGGATGAGGTTGGGGCTTTGTCTTTTGACACTCCTGTAATTTTCAAGCAGTTGAAGGAATTTTGTCAAACAACTGTCACCACAGGAGAAAAGTGCATGCCTTGAAAAACAAATTATGGAAACGCTTATAATCCAGAGGTGATGGACAAAGAGCGCGAGAGAAGAAAACGTACTTCCTGGCTGAAATCCTGGAAGAGACAACACTTACAAAATAGTTCCTTTAAGGTGCGGCTGTATCAAGTTTGAAGAGAAAGCCCCAGAAAATGCATGAGGTTGAAGCAGGATGAAATTACCAAAGGCTACTCTTGCAATGTGGCTGCAGGACACTACTGCTGCTAAACCACCACTGTTTGCCCTGGTGGTGGATTAACAGCGGTAACAGTTTTAAACTGAAAGAGGGTAGATTTAGGTGAGATATTAGGAAAACATTCTTTAGTGTGAAGGTGGTGAGACTCTGGAACAGGTGGCCCAGAGAAGTTATGGATGCCCCCTCCCTGGAAGTGTTCCAGGCCAGGTTGGAGGGGCTTTGAGCAACCTGCTCTAGTGGAAGGTGTCCCTGCCCATGGCAGGCAGGTTGGAACTAGGTGATCTTTAAGGTCCCTTCCAACTGAAACCATTCTATGATTCTAACAAAGGTTAACTGAAAGCCAGAAATCTCAGAAGAGAGAATAAAAATATATAATAAATGCATTCTTGTTGGATTTCTCATCCCTACAGACACAAATACTAAACACTGAATAAAACACAATGAACTTAACAAATGTAAACACTATGTTTTCATACTTAGTAGACAGATCATGTGTAGGGTGGCAAGCTGAGCTTCTCACACGGTGTCAGGATTTTGTATGTTATTATGGTGTTTGTACACGTATGTTATGTTCTCATCTAGGGGGAGAGGATGTTATGCAAGCAGCTGTAAGGTTTAGCTGTACACCACATTACAGGACACAGTAGCCATTCAAACAACTAATTTCTTCTGCTTCCTAAGCACTATTGATATTTATATGGTTTCTTACTTATTTCAGATCATAGGCAGAATTATTAGTCCTGCTACCAATAGGGGTACCTCATGTTTTCAGTAACTTAAAACTCTGCCAGATATTAACTGTTCATACTGAAATTTTCCAAGCCTGAAGCAGAATAATTTGAAAAAGTTTCTGGTAATATGGTTTAGCTGTTTCTGAGAATATGATTTGAAAAATATGTTGGTTTGCATGTATTAAACCAAAGTTCCAATAACTATTATATAGAGAATCTCCAAGATTGTCAGGTTTTAAACTAGGGCTTGGAAATTTGGCCGAGATGGCGTCAGTGGTACACCTTTTGTAATTCTTGTAAATTTACCCAAATCAGAGCAAGTTACAATATTTAAAAAGAAGCATCAGTTTGCCAGTGCTGAGTGGAGACACACCGGCGTGTAGGTGCTGAACTCAGGCAGTCCCCCCCGCACCGGCTGGCCTCTATCAGGGAGTGCCTCGCTAGGACTTACTCTACAGCTTTGACTCTTGGGTTTGCAGCACCAGGTGCCAGATCTAACAACAGTCTCATATTTTGTCCTGGCACTCAGTGCTCTCTTTGCTAATAACAGGACAAGGCTGAAGGTGTCTTCTTACGCACATATCCCCATCACTAGTGGCAGGAGCAGTGTTTCGAACTAGATATTCAAGAGAATGTCTATGCAGGAGCACAGAAAGTCCCAGGACTCAGGAGGCAAGACAGCATCAAGGAAGGAGACTGAGGACAGACGGACTGGTCTGAAGAGGAGGGGGAGACTGGAGCAAGAAGCTGAAGTGGGAGAAAGGAGGTGCATGGGGACGGGAGGAAGAGATTAGCTTTGGCTCGGGAACAGGCAGAGAGGTTTGTGCTGACTAGACCCTATGATGTCCTTGCAGTACCTGGCCTTGATCCCACATTTTCAGCTGCGTTGCTCTTCCGCGAGCTCTGTTGCGAAGTGCGTCTCTCCTTCCATCCTGATGGCTGGAGAATACAGAGGGCACGTGCTGCTGCTCGCAGGTCTTGCAGCTCAAGGAGCAGGGGTGTTTCCCACAGACCTAAAAGCTCAAACACTGCTTGGTCCATTTGATAATACTTTTGTTCTTCATTATGCTTTTTTGATTTAGAAACTGACACATTCAAAATCCATCCTACATTAAAGAAACATGAACATTGCAAAATCTAGCTCTTGTAGCAAGAAAAACAATAGAGTATTGTCCACATAAATGTAATTTATCTTCTGTGTGCCTAAATACAATGGTATAAAATAATTTAATCTTTTTCCAGTTGACTCCTAAAGTCCTCACAACTAAAACTGATGGCAATAAGAGTGAGATTTGATTAAAGAGATACACCAATGCTTCTAGCCCTGTTTCATATTTCCCATGCCAGATTGGTAGATTTTTTTTTTAATCTTAATCTTGAATATGCTTCCCCCCCGCAAGTAGGAATTACACTCCACTACCATGTCTGGAAAGTGATCAATAGATACAGAAAAGCTGATGAGGAACTATGTCATATTTACAGTTCTAACAGTGTGAAGGCATAGGGCTATGCACTGAATCACAAGGAGGAACTGACTGAAACCTCACTAGGTACAAGAATAATCTAAGTTGTGTCATGAACTCTGTATTTCCAAACTTTTCACTTCTTGCATTTGCTGTATTACTGATTTTTAACATAGTTATTAGTTACAATTTTTATATAATCTCACATGGGTTTCCTAGTTTCTTGACCACACATGCATTAGTACACAATGATGCAATTCAGAGTTTGTAAGAGAGTGAGAACAAGGCTTAGGTAAATGTAGTGTTACCTAATATTAAAATACTGAAATATGAAAACTCTTAACATATTCAACTCCTTTATAGAATGACATTGGAGGAAAAATCTCAGGACAAAACAAACCCACCTGATTTTGAACTTTCCAGAGATGAGGAAGATCAGCTGGAGAAGGTTACAATTGCACCTGAGAATAACAATTCCAAGTGCATTTCAATTTTTTGCTCTGCATGTCAACAAACAATATATCCATACCACATTCTTCATCATAAAAAAAACCCACAAAGCCCTAACTTTGCTGGGCTTTGATAGCCCACAAATAAAGACTGACAACAAAATACTTTTGGCTCAGAGACAGAAACTGATTTCAAAATTGACCAAGATTCCTAAATATTCTGAGACACATAAGCAGAAGATTGATTATTCATTTGAATTCCTTATGGACAATCATACTCCGACATCATATTGTGATCTTGCTAATATTAACAATCCTAGTACTCTTAAGAAAGTAAATAATTCCTTAATAAAAGCATTATCAATTTGCCAAGATAAAAATTCCACATGGCAGGGACACATGGAAGACAGATTTATTGTGCTCGACAACTATGGAAATAGGTCAGATACATGTTTTCTGGGGTTAGTTGATGGCTCTCATGGTGTGACAGCTGCAGAAACAGTTGCAGCAGAGCTTCCACTTTTATTTCTTGACCAGCTTGCTCAAACGGATTCCTCCTACAAAAAGAGTGAGGATGAACAGCAAATTCTAGATTCTTTTGCCACAGTAATCAAGGCAGATTACAGGGAAAAAGAGAAGATTTTCTGTGATAAACCAGGCAATGACAAGACCAACAAGACCAATACTTACGAATGGATTCACAAAGCGTATGCCAAGTCCTTTTGGAGAATGGATAGACTTTTACGACTGGGAAGGAATGAGGTTTCCAAAGTTCGCTGGAGTGGCTGTTCAGTGGTTACCTGTTTGGTGGAAAGAATCCACAGTGAAGAGGCAGATGGCATTGAGGAAGAAGAACGAAAACATTCTAGAAACACCACGCATAGTCCATTAGCCAGGACAGCCAAAGGTGTTGCTGGGTTACTACACATCGCTAATATAGGTATGTACATTCCACGCCAGGATTTTTTTTTTCTCCTCCCAATAAAGAGAAAAAATAAGCTAATCTAGAGATATGTTGGCAGTAGATTCTAGAGATAAAAACCAGCAATTGCTTTAGCTTGACAATGTGAAGAAGACATGATAAATTCCGTTGCAAGTGATATTGGTATCAGACAGTAAGTATTAAGCTTATTAGATAAGTAGCTTCAATATGATATTTGATTTAAAGCAGTAAAGTCAATTTACTAATGTGAAAGACACAGTTAGGAAGCATTCCATAATACCCAAGTGACCTCTGTAAGAGTAGCAAGGCCTTTTTTTTTTTTTTTTTTTTTTAAAAAAAATCAGGAGGTTTAAGGTGTCATCACTTTAGGGCAGGCAATCACAAATCTTCTGATTTTAGATCCGATAAATCCCTTGTGTCAATGAAACATACTTAAGATATTCTTTTTGTTAATTTGTTTCATTGAGACTAAGTGCCAACCACATTTTGCTACCAGCAAACTGAAAACATGATTTGTGCGGATCATCTGAATTATTAATTTCTAAAATAGCAATTGGTTGTTATTTACTGTTGCTATGGAAGATCTATTTGGACCTGTTTCCTTATGAAGTAGAACCCTGCTTTGCCTTTCTATAGCATAGAAAATCAGTTATTAATTACAATCAGAAACACTGATACATTCCTAATGCTTTCCACCCTGCAGCCCTGCTGCAGAAAACGCTAGATAAAGCTCTTGCAGTTCTTAGCAACTCATTGTATCTTCCCACTTGATGATTTGAGTTACCACTTAAGTTCTCTTGCGTACATAAGACAATTGTAAGATTACAGGCAAGACACTTGCTTTCCCATAAAGGAGTACGCAAGCAGAATTATATAAAAAAAGCTGTTGGGTAAATAGTTTCAAATGGATTTGTGTCTACAGTTATATTCTCTAGTGTCTTCCAGTCTCTGTTTGAAGCACATGCCCAGCACTATAAGGAGTGTGCTAACATGGCAACTTTCCTTTCCTCCTCAAATGAGTGTACTCACAAAACTTGTAAGACTGCTTCATATTTTTTAATTTCAGTCAAGTTTCATATGAATCAAGAGGGTCAAAGATCAGCAGGGAAAGGGAAAACCATTTGAGAGGCCTCATTTTTTTCAGGAGGCAAAAAAAAATTATCATATTCCACATTTGGAAAAACTGATCCCAGATAAAAAAAAAGAATGTTTTTGCTTAACAACAATATGCAATCCTCCGCCAGTCTGAGGAACAACTTGAACATGCACTGACACTGAACTAAGTAACTGTGGTCTGTTCCTCTGCCTCCTCTCCTCCATTCTCCCGATGCTTGTTGCTATCGCCATACTTTCTCTACCTCAAATAAGCATTTTCACAGCTACCTGAACTTTACTGTTACAGGTATCAAAACTGGTAGTTTAGCGCTAGCTCAGGTATTCTTTCAGGAGATGCAGCCACACCTTTAATGGAATACAGTATTAACATAAAGGTTGTAATGTTTTTGTTCGCATTTGTTTTCACCTTACTAGGGAAGAAACTCATTTTTATTACAAAGAGCTTGAGAGGTAAGATGAAGGTAAGAAAATTTGGTAGAGAATTCAACCAACCTAATTTTTCTGGTTCTAGTTACCTGCCTCCATCCTTCCCTCTGAGATGAGGTTTTATACAATTAAAAATACTGTAAACTCAAGCTCTGCTAATGAGTTAAGGCTTGAATTGATCAGAGATACTTTAAGCCTTTTATCATTAAAGTCCATTTGAACCATTGCTAAAGACACATTTATTTAATCTAATACACTTAATTTTCCACCAAACATATCACACCAAAGAAAAAGATTTGCACAACATCAAGCTTCATTTTCCCCCAGGAATGTGTTCTTACAGAAGTACAGGCATGTTCCTTCATCACCGGGTAAGCAACTAAGAGGATAGTCAGATATGCGGAGCAGGAGATGATGGCACCAGCCAGCTTTGTCTTCTTCGTTTAGTCCCACATTGACAGGTCAGCTAGTTTTTGTCGATTCTTTTGCCCTGTCTCTGGTTTGCAGACAAGTGACTTGCATCCAAAAGCGACTAGATTTTACTCTTTCTTGCAGTCAAATTGTTCCACAGGGGTTATATTACGCCCTTTTGTTAGGCTTACAGCTGGTGGTCTTACTCCGAGGGTTCAAAGGAAATTTTAAACAATCTTCTAGCTCTCCATGGAAATCCGAGGAAGGAGGAGGGAGCAAGCACAAGGAAACATTCACACAGTGTAACTTAAGGCATCTACATTGTATAATCAATAAAAAGGTGCACCCTTCAGTTTGATGTTCTGAATCACCTTCTAGAGAACTCTGTCTTCACAGACTACACTTAGCTGTTTCCTACACTAGACAATGCCAATACTGCCCAAGAAATACAACTACCATACAAGCAGTGCCTACTTACAAACACTTTTCAGAGATCTGTGCCCTAGTCTAGCCAGATGATATTAAAAATACAATATAAGTGTACACGCTGCAGCCAGCTTAGAGTCCGGAAAGCTACCATCCCACTCAAGTTCCTTCTGTAAGACATCACTTTTGCCCTTATGCCAACACATGGGAGCAGACCAATAACCTCCTCTCTAACACAAAAAACAGTATTCTCCCAGCGTAGCCATAGAGGATCTCAAATAATACATCACTTTGTTTCAGAGCTGCTTTCCTTCATGCTCTGCATTCATGTCTGACAAGACTAGTCACCTGCAGTGTTGCAATTTCTAACATTTTTCATTCTCACCCTGCAGATTTCAAAAGTGTTGAGGGAAAGGTAAAATACCTATTCCTACTAAAGGAAAGAAGTCAGTCCTCAACCTCTCACGATGACTGTGAGAACTCTTGCTCTCTTGGGTCCCTTAACCAAGGAAGAGATTTAAGGCACCATGGTAGTAAACTGTAAATTCTACATGATGTCCAAATTGTTTTCAGGTACTAGAAATTTTATACTGCTAAAAACAGTCTGAACCTGAAACTTCTTGATGAGTCCATTCAGCCATAATATTTTGAAAGCACATGCTTTCCTCGGGGGAAAAAAAAAAAGAAGATTATTTAAGAAAAATATGCACTCTTGCTTAAAAGCCAGTCAAGGTGCAACATTTCTGTCAGACTGCACTTTAAGCTGAATGAAATGTCATTTAAGACTCCTCATAAGAGTTTAGTTGCAGTCAGAAGAATAAAGTTCTGGAATGGTCTTCTGAATAATGGGAGGGAAAAAAAACCACAGAAAACTTGGCTGTAAAAGAGAACCAGATTAATTGATGGACATACTGTTGCCTGTGGCAGTAGACAATTGAACTATGACCTCAGTTTTTTTCCCAGTCCTTAGCAAAAGGCTAACTGTTAATCTAACAGCAGGAGCTTAAAAAAAAAAAACATCAGTATGCTACAATTCAAAACAGTATCTTATCTCAATTTTAGGTAATGCACATGCAGTCTTATGTAAAAACGGAAAAACTCACTGCCTCTCAAAAGAGCACAGCACTTCTAATGTAAGCGAGAGAAAACGCATACTTCAGAATGGTGGACACATCAGCACTAATGAACCGGATGGATTAGTAGAGGGGTACCTGAGAACTACAAGGGGTCTTGGACATCATGGAGATCCAGTACTGAAAAGATCTGTTATACCTGTACCTCATACTATATCTGTCCCCATTGATGATACTTGTCAGTTTCTTATTTTAGCTTCTAATGGACTTTGGGAGGTTTTGGATTACAATGAAGTACTTGCATTAACTCTAACAACATTCACTCATTATTTGAGAATGTACGAATGTGTTCAACAAAACGGGACTTCTCTGTGTAAGTGTCAGTATTTGATGCCCCTCACTGAAGACAACTTAAATGACTCAAAGGCTACTAAAGATCTGCAAGATGGAATAGAGATACTGTATTCCAATAAAGACATTTTTCTCACTGACTCAAAAGGCAACCTGAAACAAAATAAGCCAAAATGTTCTAGGAGGAATTATTTGCAAAGTGAAGATGGAGTTCCTAAGGAAACTGATGACCACAAAAATCAAGCTGATCCAGGACTGTCTCTTTTCACTAACAATGAAGTAAAATCACAGTACAGAGATATAAAACAGGCCGATTCTAGCACACAAAGTGGCTCTGAAGAACTGAAACAGTTTGAGGACAGAAAAGTTTATCTATGTAACAATCTTCAGCCACAGCCACAGACTGCAGAGCAAGAAGAAACAGACACTGGTAATTTCTGTGCGACAGGTCCAAGTCACACCCATAAACAGCTGCGAGAGAATGTACTGGCAATAGGGTCTAAAGACATGAAACAGCCCCCAAAAGATACAAAAGCATGCCTATCTAATTATGACTCAGGTCCACAACTGGCAGAAAAAATGGACTCCAAGATATTTTGTGACAAACCTGCAAGTTACGCTGGTCAAGAACTGCTAAAGACTGTATCACCAGTGGGTTCTAAACCACCACCACTGTTTGAAGAGGATACAAAAACATACCCGTCCAATTGCGAATCACGAACTGCAGGAAGAGGCAGAGTCACCTCTGAGACACTCTACAACAATGCAGCAAGCTACATTAGTGAACAACTGGTAAAGACTGCATTAGCTGCCGGTTCAAGAGACAATATTACTATTTTGATTGTACTTCTAAATGGATGCGATAAAATACCCAATTACCTCAACATTTAAAAAATTATCATAGGATAACTGGAGTGCCACAGTACATATAGTACAAGCTTATATTTAGCTGTGTCATGAATTTACTTCTAATCATCTTAAATGCTGACCCACATAGTGAATCAGACATTTTGTCTGGAACTGTGCAAATGCAATAAACCCTTCTGAAACTCTCAATAAGAAACGGTAATCATAATCTTTTTTCTTTAAACCACTTTATTCAAACCTGAGCACCTCAATATAAAACTAAACACTGGTGAACTGTCATTTTCCTTGCTAAACCCAGATTACTGCAAATTTAAAATCTGCACAAGTAAGTTTCTGCTATCAGTTCAACATTTAAATAGACTAATTCATCTCTTCTGACACACTTGGTAGATTTCATATAATGAAAATAACTAAAAGAATTAGTGCAATATACTGGACAGATCAAAATAAAATGTACTTTGGAAAACAAAGTTGCAAAGTTCATTACTGACAGACAGCAGTACTTATGTTACAGATACAGGAGCATCATTTATTACTGTTCTAGCCGTAAAGGAAGAACTTAGAACCCCCTTTGATTAGAGAGGAAAAAAGTTAGCTTTAAGTAACTGTACATTCTGTATACCTTTAAGCAACTCTTAAATATTACAGAAAGTATTAAACAAAAGTAGACTACAATGCAGAGTACCTATTTACAGTACATTAATATCCAAATTTAAAATCAAGTTGGATGTACATAATCGTTAGTGCACTATTTTTTTCCTTAGGGGAAAAACATAAACTGTAATGGCCAGCAATGATCAAAACCAAGAAAGAAGTCACAGACACCAAGTTTGTTGTGGTTTTACTTGAAGAGCTCTTACAGTTTGCAGAGAAAAGAAAAAATCCTAAGTTGTAAAGTTGAATTTACTGGTCTGTACCCTCTGAACAGATTAGAAATGAAGTTAAACTTGATTTATCACTAATTCCTTTAGATAGCTAACTGGGCTGATATAATTTACATACAGTGTACCAACTAAAACTCCACTTTCCTGCAAGCACAGGGTTCTTAAAATCGTTAATGCAAGTATTATTTGTAATTAAATTATTAAACTATGGAATGTATAACTAAACAGTAGATACCTGCAGAAACAACTGGTTGCATCAATACTGTGAATACGTTTAAGTAATTTTTAGATCCTGTTTCTAAAAAGGTTTTAAAGCACAATTGAGAATTATGAAAAGTCCCAATTCTATTTATTATAACAGTAATCAGTATTGAGGCTACAGGAACTGGCTAATTAGGTCCACGGAAAGTAGTTCTTCTACACCCCTAATGGTAAGTGATTTTTAAAACATTTCAACTGAAGGAAGTTTATGCCGCTTCCATCTAGCCTCTACTGCTGAAACATTACAGCCAGTGGTGGATACATGCATGTTAAAATTTTAGGTCAAAAAAAAACCAAAACTCTGTATCATGAACTTGACTACTATCATAAGTCTCTTCGCTGTTTGGAAGCTGTACTGGGCCAGGTTAAGCACTCCAATTCCATGGTTATTAACAGTTAGGAAGCAGAAGAATATTCAGAACAGTTTAAAGCAATTGATGTTTTAGTTACTACAACATTGACGGTGGTTGCGTGGGTTCAGTAAGGTCTACTCCTCTTCCTCTGGCAGAGTTGGCTCCTGCATTCTGTGGTTCATTCTTGGGCAATTTTTTTGCTATAAAATCAACAAGAAATAAGAGTTAAAACTGGGATTATACTAAAATTAAATCACCTGAGTACACAAACAGTCAACACCTTATTACTCTGTAATCACTATAAAATCTGATTTGATTCAGTGTGTTGGTAATAAAAGTAGTTAAGACACTTAACTTCTTAGTGATTAACTACCTTACCAATGATTTTCAAGAGTGAAATGTATTAGTAATTGAGCAGTAAAATGTATCTGCACAGGTATGCTATGCCAGTACATGACGGCTCTTATGGGAATCCACCTACACAGAACAGGCTTTAAGATCAGGACATTAGTGCTAAAAGCTACAGAAACACTGAAAAGGCACAAAACACAGACACAAATGGGTCAAACTACTGCCCAGCTATCTAGCCAGAGTTAAGTATTTGCATACAACATATAAAATGGCCCTCAGCACTAGATCAAGTCTCTCCTCTCTTTTTCAAGCTGTCTCTTCTCTCCAGCTTTTATGAGTCAACTGACTGTGATAATTTCTTTGTTGTCCTTGTAGCTCCAGGGTACCTCCTCGGTGCTAATGTGAAAAACAAGGCTTACAAATGTTACCCTTCTGAGCAGCAGCTCCTCCTAGCAATTTTCTGATGGAGAGAAAGCTAAATATTACATAAAAGGACTTCTCTGGGGCTGCCTTGCCCACGTTAGCAGGACCCAACAGCCATCTTTATTCTACAGTTTGGCTGCATGCTTCAACTCCAAAGCAATTACTTTGGCCAGCTTTTTAAAGAACAACTTTTCCTAAAAGTAATGAAATGCAAGTATAACAGCCAGAAAACCAGCAGCGTACACATCAACAAGATGTGTTGTGGTGCTAGATAATCTCAGGGTGCGAGGTAATCTCATCTAGGCTCCCTTTCCCACAAAAGGTTGGACCAGATGATCTTTTGAGGTCCCTTCCAACTTAGGCTGTTCTGCGATGCTGTGATAGAACCCAAGAGTTCACGTGATACTGAGCTGCTGAGATAGTACAAAGGGACAAACTACCAGTAGAATAATGCCTTCAGAGCACTGTTGTTTTGGATTCTAGATACATTCTAGAACTACAAATTAACATGAATTTTAACTGGAAGTTCTGAAAGAGCTCTAAAACAGTCAATTTACAAGCACCTGTAGCTTGCATCCCTCAATTCTGTCCATGTTCTCATTTTTCATTTTCTCCCATTTTTGAAGATCATATGTACACATGGTCCTGAGAACTGCATCCATGTTGTGCAAAAGGCTATTCCACGTTCCATACAATACTTAAATCCTCGTCAAGATTTCCTTTCAAGGTCCATTGCTGCAGAGATCTTGTTCTGATGCACTGACAAAGCTGAATTTCACCCATTGATGTGAAAGAATACTTACATGAACAACCAACCTCGCAGACAAAATACCCAGGTACTAACGGGGCATTGTTTTCTCAAATTTACTTTGTATACTTTACTAAAATATGGAGAGGTAAGAATTACAGCAGATATAAGAAATGACCAAAAAAATTATCAGATTTGGGGTATTTTTTTTTTTTTAAAAAAACAAGATGCAAACTGCACCTTTAAACAAATTAATTTTAAAATTTCACCGGAACAGTGCAATTGAGCATTTCTGTATCATTAACTGTAGGTGTATCTTGAGCATCTATGAGAAAAATACACTTTCCACTCATACAGTTATGTGGTTTTTCTCCCCCCCCAAGTATTTATAGTTAATATGAAACAAGTACTTGTTATAAAATGTTGCTATAGTGATAATTTAATTTGCATCTGCTGGAAGTTTGAACCGCACCACAAATTACCTTCTGCTTTACTGACTTGGAAAGCAAAAGATAAGAGCTCTTTAGAAACATTTAATTTTGATAGCAATGCTGTTTTTCACAAAATGAAGTGGGATAGAGAGGTCACTGTAGTGCAAAATACAAAAACAGATTTAATAAGGTTATTTGACACTATACATTACTATTCTCCAGTAACAGAGCCACTACTGGGATTAAGGTGATTACTAAATAGGTTGGTGACCAACCTAAAAATGCATGCTTTTTCCTCAACTTTCAAAATTTTATTAACAATGAAATACAATTTTGTGTCTATCAATGGAATTAACAAAGTTTCTTAGTAATTTATACTTACTATTACATGTTAGCATCTTTACAGAAATGCCTAAAATTATGTCAGGGCTAAAAATATATTAGTAAATTTACTTTTTACATGAAGTGTCCTTTACTTATACTTAGACATTGAATTTAAACACACATTGTCATCTTTGGCACAACTTTTGGATTTCAGATAGCTCAACATTTGGAATTCAAACAAAATTTTAACACAAAAGCATATTTAGCAAATATTTTGTTTAGACTAAAATGAATACTTGACTTTTTTTTTAAGCAAGTCCATTATCATTCTCCCATTTTGAATTGTTTCCAGCTTCAACTACCACTGTCTCATAAAAGGTACATTATTCCAGGTTCTGCATCTATCCAAGGCAGTGTGGAATCTGCTGCAAACAACATACCATCAAAAGGCACACATTTATACACTTTCACTTACATTCTTACACTAATTTGATTAACGAATGCCAAGTGCATCTTACAGTTAAGAAAAGCTGTGTGAAGCTTTTTACGGTTACCTATACCATGGGAAAGGTAGTTTTTTGTATATAACTAAAGCTTAATTTTGCTTGAACTTGAAGCACTACAAGTTTTCATCATAGAATCAAAACAGGTACATGAAACTCGCTGGCAGAATTCAAAAGTAACCTAGCTTAGCTATTCCAAGTTAATCCAAGTGTTTTGGTTCTTGACAGAAGACCTGTGCAACTGTGCTTCAAGTAAGTTTATCTGACTTCTGAACACCAAAAAGGATCTGAAATGGGCTAAGGAAACTTCAGTGTGAGAAACAGTTTAGGTGAAACAAAGATCTTGGATTAGGAAGATTGTGATTGCATGTGTCTCGTGAAAACAATTCCCTTAAATTCTCAGTTTGTTCATAAACTCACCAATTGCCATGAATATTTCATTTACGTTCATAGATGTTTTGGCAGACGTCTCCATGAACAATAAGCTGTTATCATCTGCATAAGCCTGTGCTTCCTGAAAGTTAAAATAAAAATGCAGTACTTCATTTAAAAAAAAAACAACCCAAAACCAAAAAAAACCACATTCATTACACATTGTACTTTTATTGCTAGTAAGGAACAATTTCTATACCATTTTGAAAGAAAGTTTGTTGAAACACTCATGTGACAACGTGTTATTCATCAGCTATGAAGAAGTCACAATACCATCAAGCAGTTAAACTTTTAGAAATGCAATCTTAAAAATC